CCCGCGCGCACACCTCCCTAGGTCTGGCAGGAGCGCACCTGGCTCTTGCCGCAGCCGGTGCGTGTGGCGGTGACGGCCACCACCGGCTTTGCGGAGCGCAGCATGCCCGCGTGCCACGGCAGCATCACGACAGCGGCGCCGGCGGAGCGCACGCGTGCCGCCAGGGCCATCACCTCCGAATAGGATATGTCGCTGCGAGGTGGTGCACATGGCGTCATGCATGCACCAGTGAGGAAAGGTGGTGCAGATGAGTCAGTGGTATTTCAGTCGCCCGCTGAGAGATTGCGGCCGCTAGCTGACAAAGTTGCTAAGAGGTTACAAATGCCTCAGCGCTGGCGAACTGGGCGCGATGCGCTTCGCTTGCCTGTAGGCCAATATTGCCTGTGTGACGCCCTGCTCCCTGATGACGTCATCGACCTCAGCCTCGGGCCAGATGGGCAGCCCCTCTGCAGAGGTGTGGCGACAGGCAGCGAGGACAGGGCAGCAGGGCCGGCGGGCACGGCGGGGGCACAAAAAGATAAAGTTGTTCCCAGAAAGCAGGGCGCCCGCGTGCGCAGGCAAAATCGTGTGTGCCTGGTACAGCGCATGGGTACGTCAACAGGAAGCGGAGTGTGTCGACTGCCCGCAACCCTCTGCAGTAAATCTCATCAGTCACCGACCTGATGATCAGCCACCATGCGTGTCGGTGGCCTTTACGCGGCACCAGCATCCCGGCCGCAACACCCCCTTGCCTGCCCACCTGGGTACTTGGGCCCGGCGAGGGCGGCCGGGTAGCGTGCGCTCGCGATGTGGGGGATCTGCGCATGGGTGAAGCCCACAACAGTGTCTGATGCACGGGGGCCGCCGCCACGGAACAGCGTGTTGAAAGTGTGATAGTCCTGTCGGGGGGGGGGAGAGGTGGTGAGATATTATTAGAGCGGATCCACACACAGTGTGACAGAAGATCGCGTGGCTTGCTCGCATTTCAGGGCGTCGGAGCGGGCAATCACTCGCCATGCACGTGAAGAAGACCCCAGCACAGAGCAGCCCTTAGGAGGAGGTGCATTGCGCTACGTGCTGGAAAGGGCGTCACACTTGACTTCGCTTGTGGGTGCCCTATCCAGGTTCCTGTGTCAGCCTGTGCGCCCATCAGGGCACAACCCATCCGGGACCCTCCTGAGGAACAGAGATATGACCCACCCGGCCAGCAGCCCCCAGAATCAGTACGCGCTCCTCGTGGCGCATGTAGCCGTCGCGCCAGTTGACGTGGATGTCGGGGTCCCCGTTGGCAGCCATGAAGTCCAAGGAATCGCTATGCCGTGGTGGACTTGTTGAGGGGCCTGCGTGCCATGTGGGGGGTCGTAACAACATCACAGGTGGCGGAGGAAGGCAGCTCGCAAATTGTGGACGCGGGGTGGTGGGCGGCGGGTCAGCACGGATCAAGGTCGCTCAAAGATGGCGTATGCAAAACTGGCTTTCACATGCACGTCTGCTTACCCCTGGGATGCACAACAAACACAGGCTGAATTGCAGGCGGTGGACGCTGACCAAGTGCGCCACGTCATGCCAGGGGCACCCGCCAGCGCCGTATCGGGGCGACGCGTGGTGCTTACCCGCAATTTAGTAAATGTGTGGATCGTAGCAATAGACGTGGTCCAGCTTAAGCTCCCAGCCGAAGGCAGAATCCCGAAACAGATTGCGACACTGATCAGATTGTCGCGAAGGAGTGAATGTTTGTGAATTCAAACTGTGAGTAGAAAAGTATGGCTAATATGAGCTGTTGATTGCCGTCTCAGGCCATTCACGCCCGCGGTGGAGCCCCAAGTGGCTGAGCTGGCGAAGAGAAACACTGCGGTGCTTGGTCGCACGCATTCAATGGCTGCCCCTAGCATGCAGCGGAGTGCAGGATAGTGCCATCATGCTTTTCTAAAACAGGGTGGTACCCACACACCGCGCAGATGCAAGCGCCCTCCATTCAACAGCCTGCCTTACTAATCTTGAGTCAGGCCCTCAGTCGCCACACAATCCCGATGGCCATGCCCCAGCCATGCACACAGCGCACTACCTGCTTCTTGGTCGACCTGATCAACATGCATCAATTGCGGGCTGCTGCAGCCTGGTCATGCGGGTGGCCACATGAGAATGCAGCGCGCTAGCAGCTGTTGCCAAGTGATGCCATACAAAGGCTTGGCTCTGCAAAGATTTCTTCACCACCCTGAAGAAACATGCTGAGCTGGGCCCACTTGGCCAGGCTGTCCAGTCAACTGCGCGTGTCCGCAAGGTTGTACAAACTTGGGAGGCAACATGCTCACCAGCAGTGCCCAAACGCTTATGACATGGCTGGCGAAGGATGCAAAGGTATAGCAAAAGATATCTAGTCGACGAGTGGAGGATGGGGACCGCCACTCGATTCCAGTTCCAGTCCAAATTCAGTGCGCATGCTGCGGCAGTCTCAGAGGCGCGATGTGTCAGGTTTGTCATGTCAAGCTCATGAAGGCAGTTGAGCAAAGCGGCTGTCAATCCACTCGGATTGCAACTTTGTTGTGTAGTGCGTCACGAAACTCTTTCGGGCGCGTGAAAGCTGCAGTAGATCACCCCAAGCTTCTTGTGCGAACACTCAGCCGGCATCGTGGCTGCTCCATAACTCAAAATTAGCGATGGCGACGGCTGATATTGAGGGGCCGCTGCTTCAGCAGCTGGATCGCGACGGCGCGATAGCGGACTCTGGGGACTTTGCAGCGGCCAATGGCTGGGAGCATAACGCAGTGGTGGGAGTTATCAAGAGCTTGGAGGCGGCCGAGATGGTGGTGACGCAGGTGTGCGCCAAACCACGCGCCGCTGCAGTGCTGCGCTCGCCCGATCCTGCGCTGCACTGAGCGAGCGGCGTTGAATGGTATGCAAACTGGCAATGGCAGCACCAGACTGTCCTTCGCTACTCATCAATGCCCATATGCCGCCCATGCCTCTGTGCTCATCCCGCCTCACACCCGTTCCCAATCACCACCACCGCGCCCCCACCCGCTGCAGGACATCTCCCACTCAAAGCATGTAGTGCGGCCCGACGCGGAGGCGTATGCGACCGCGGGATCGCCCGAGGCGCAGGTGTTTGCGGCAGTGCCGCCAGAGGGCGTCACCCTGGCGGCCCTCAAGGCGGCGCTGCCCGGTGACGTAGCTGACCTGGGCTTCCGGCAGGCCATGCAGCAGAAGTGAGCGAGGAGGGGTGCGGTTTGGCAGCTGGCCGCAACGCGGAGGGTTTTCGTTATTGATGTAGGATACAATTAAATGCGAGCAATCAAGGCGTTGTAGACCCTGCGTGCGGTGGCGGTGGCTTGACCCTGTTTCGCAACCGGCTGTTGGCCGTTTTGCCCGCAGCAGGATGGCAGAAGCCCAAGGTCGGTGCTGGCGGGTGTGAAGCGCCGGCCATGCCCATGCTGACTGCGCCCGTCCCCACTGCTACGCCCCTGCAGATGGGTGGCCACCGACAAGAGCAGTGGCGAGCCGCGTGTTGTGCGCAAGGTGGAGTCCATTGTGGACACAGTCCAGCAGCAGCTGCAGACGGTGAGGGCCCCAGGGCACAGGACTTGGAGTGCGGGCGCACGCGCGCGTGCGTGGGTGCCTGTGTGCGCGTGTGTGTGTGTGCGTGCACACGCGCGCGCATGTGAATACGTGAGTGTGTGTGGCGAGGGTGTCCGGGTGGAAATCAAGGATTGTGGTCCAAGGAGGGTTTGGGGTCGGCGCATCGTGGCAGCACAACGGACTGCTTAGGAGGCAGGACGGATGTCACGCTTGGCGCTCTGCAGCGGGGGTGAGCGCCTGCTACCCGGTGGCTGAAATGGCAACTGCCACGGGCCCCTTGAGCGCAGCCCCAGCGTTGATACTGGGGTCAAGATTCAAACCAATCACCACATCCTGCAAATGCACCGCAGCTGCTGTCTGGTGGGGACCTACCTGCGGCCGACCTGGAGGCTCTCACCAAGAAGCGAAAGATGCTGCAGCTCAAGTGGGTGCTGCACGGGGCTGTTCCGGGCTCACCGGTGCCCGAGCACGTGCAACATGCTTGCATGCTGGCATTTGCTCAGCAAGGCTGCAGGAAGACATACGTGACACCTTGCAGTGCGGCTTGTGATTCTCAAGGGGTCTGTGATATGAGGTTGCTGGTGCAGCAGCGCCCTCTCGCCTTGCGCAGGGTGGGAACAAGAGTGCTGATGGGAGGCGCTGAGTGGGTGCAGCTAACTGCCTTGCCCAGTCGTTCCAGTCAGCGCACCTCGCTCCCCCGGCTGGCATCGCCGACCCTTCCTCTCTCACCTACCCCTACACACTCACACGTGCGCAGCTCCTGGAAGACGTTCTCTTTGTCAAAAGGGCCCAAATTTGCGCTGCAGCGGAAGAGGCAGGCCACAGAGCTCACAGCAGAGATGATTGCCAAGTGAGGCCCAGCCTTGTGTGTGTATGAGTTTGTGCAGAGGGGGGGATCAGGGGCCCTACTGTAAGTGGCTATCAGAGTTGTGGGCTTTGCTCTGCTGGGCTTGCCTGGCAGCAGGCTCGCCCGGAGCGCCAATGAGGCGTGCTCCGCAACAGGGCCAGCACCAAAGCGGCACAGGCCTCATGTCCTGCACCCGGTGCACAGCTCGTCTGCTTCGCTCACTTGACCCTGTTCAACCCCCCCGCCCCACCCCCCCCCTCGTCACGCCAGGGGCACCTGGCGTGACCAGGAGTTCAAGGACTACAACTTCAATGCGCTGGGGCTGCCGCCAAACGGCGGGGCCCTGCACCCCCTGCTCAAGGTGGGGGGCTGGGTGCGGGGGGCGGGTCGGTAGGTCTCCCAGCGAGGAGAAAGCGGCTGGTTGCCTGTGCCACCCCACCAACAGGCTGATGTGTGCATCCCGCCAACTTATGGGACGCGGCCCAACCCAAGTGGAACCCGCCGAGCGCGTCATTCAAGCCACTCATGTACCCCACTCACACCGCACAGCAAATTGCACTGTACTGCATCGCGGCGCCTTTCGTGCGGCCCCCCTCCGTTGGTTTCCCTCACCACCCCTGCTGCCCCCCCTCTTGCGCCCCAGGTGCGCACCCAGTACCGCAAGATCTTCACGCTCATGGGCTTTGAGGAGATGCCCACCAACAATTACGTGGAGTCATCCTTCTGGAACTTTGACGCACTCTTCCAGCCGCAGCAGGTGCGCGTGCGGGCGCGGGAAAAGGCGTTCTCAGGCTTGGGTGCGCGCATCTGCATGTGTGCATGCGTGTGTGCACGTGCATGTGTTGACGGGCAGTGCTGTACTGCAGTGTGTTTTCAACTGTGATGGCGCTTCCTGGCAGCAAGTCCTGGTACCAACCGCTACAACCACCACCCCCGCCCCTGCCGCCCGTTCCCCCCTCCCCGCAGCACCCCGCGCGTGACGCTCACGACACGTTCTTCACCACGCGGCCCGCCACCACAGACACCTTCCCGGAGGACTACCTCGCACGCGTCAAGGTGCGCACGCGCGTGTGTTTTGGAGGGGGGCGGGACATAAGCCAGGGGCTTCTTGCCAGCCAGCCTGGTTTGGCGCGAGTGGTGGTGTTGCCGTGCATGCGCCGTGCGTGGTGGTGCCGTGCGCTCGAGGCCGAGTGATGCTTTCATAATCAAAATCGTTGAGCCTTCTCTCACCCAGTGAGGGCATGATAACACATTTTTGCTGACGGCCTCGTGTCTGGTTTGCGGACTGTGTGCTGCGTTTTGATGCTGACAGCTCTCTCCTGAAGCACACGCTAGCCAGCATGGCTGCTTGGGACATACATGAGTGCAATGGCACACATTCATTGCGATTACATGCATCAATACTGCACCCCCCTCCCAGTCTGTCCACGAGCACGGCGGCTACGGGTCTGCTGGGTACGGCTACTGCTGGAAGAGGTGTGCGCGCGCGCGTGTGTGTGTGGGGGGGTGTCGATGCGCACACATGTGTGTGGGTGTGTGTGTGTGTGCGGAAGAGTGCGTGTCTGTGTTACAATGTGGACGTGCTTTCAAAGCTGAGACAAGGACTTGCCAGTCTTGGCTGCGCCCACACGGCCCGCCTTACAAACTTGGGCCGCTTGCAGCAGACGCCCCCCCAGTGTACCCCTCGGCTCAGGCTCGCCATCATCACGCCCTCAACAATCATGTGCCCCGCATTGCCCACAAGTTGGTCACCTCCCCTCCTACCCCTGTAGGACACCTTTACCGTCACTCCTCACCA